ATATTCGAGTGTTTCCAATGGAAATTTCTCACGTATTAAACGCATTACGAAAATGTTGTCATCGTGCTCACCATATTTCTTCAGCTGAAGCCATAGTGACTTGATACGAGCGAAGGTGAGACGTTGATTGACAGCACGCGTAGTAGCCGGTTGAAGATGTTGTAACCGGTCGCTAATTTGCATACGGATTAAGTCACGGAAAGTAGGCTTCACGCAACGTATTAATTGCCATTTCATAGTTGGCTTCCGTGATCTCGTATCCTGATACCATTGACAGTGCATCATCCCTGAGTGCACTTCTGAGATAGTGGAATTTGACTACAGGTGTAATAGAACGGTTCGAATGGACCGCTGAGTCAAACACATCCCAGAACTCGGGGAACGCAGCAATGTCTCCAGTAAACATGGGCAGATCAAACTTTGGCAAACGGACTGATAAATGAGACCTTCTACTAGGAAATTTCCTCGAAGGTCCGGATTCTGCTTGGTCCTGGTCAGGAAGAGGTCCTCCGTCAGACGAAATAGAATCTCTCGACTGACTCCGTTGTCTACGAGAGTGATCTCTAGAGGCTAAGGATGCCAGCCTGAGGTTTGACGTAGTATGTCTACTTGATGTCCCTTCTTCTGAGGGACCCGCAGTAGAACACGAATTAACACCGTCCTGTTGCAAGAGCGCATTACGTCAAGCCTGGTGATGAGGTCTCTGGCCCTGCCCTCGGCCGCTTCTCCACCACTGGTTAGAGCCAGTGGTTTTGGTAGTCGCATACGAGAGCATGGCGCTCTTCCTCTCTCCTTAGAGACGGGGTACTCGATTGCTGACCTCCACGTTTGGAGGGCCAGATCAATTTCGCGGGACAAGGTAGCATGAGCTATGGTTATGGCCTTAGAACGAGCTCTGATTTGATTACTCACCGATTCTTGATCGCCGTCGAATTGCGCATCCTCGAGGAGAGACTTGTCGATGCTGTCCATAACTGCTGAAGGCGCTTGACGGCTTTGGTGAGTTCGTATCGGTAGACTTGATCCATATCTCCACGCTAGGATGAGAAGGCAATAGACAACGTCGATTGCGAAGATATGAATCAAGGTATGGATCAATGACTTCACTTCGACTGTTCTCATCCACGCACTATGGGAAAATGTCTGGCTCCACACTATTTCTTCATTTTCCCATGACGCTCTGTGGGAACGTACAGGGACGGTGATTCATCCTCTGACGGATGCTATCCACGTACTATGGGAATTTGTCTGGCGTAATACTATTTCTTCTCTTTCCCATGCCGCCTCGTGGGAACGATGCGGTTCACGTGCTCTGATTACTCATGAGCCTGAGAAAGTGACTCGACGAGCCGCTATCGATCCGCTCGGCATGGGAACGCACTAACAATCGCCGTATCGATCGGAGAAACGAAGTATGAATAGCGATTATACGAAATAACGATAGGACGAAGTAACGCACGAAGTAATACACGCAATAGGGATATAACGCGGAATAGGGAAAAAACTATTAGCCAACAACCCAAAATACCTGTTTCCTATTATCTACCAGCCTGAGAACGAAGTAAACACGGACCAGAAGAGAAGACCTTTGCTATTCTACTAAATCTACATTGATGACTATTTTTTTGCCACACTACGCACTATCCACCACAAACCGAACCGAAGGGT